ACTGGCGAGCGAGCCCGTGTCGCCGGCGCTGGCAGGCGCGGCAGTGCGGGCAGGGGGGGCAGCTTCGCGGCAGGTCCGGGGTAGCGGGGCAACTTCGCGGCAAGTCAGGGGCAGCAGGGTTGCGCGGGATTTTTTAAATTAAACGGGTTTTCGGGTTGACCCGCGGGCAACCCGCCGGGTCAACCCAAACCCGACCCATTTTTTCAAACGGGTCGAATATGTGAACCCGAACCCGACCCATTTTTCAAACGGGTCGGATTTCGTGTCGTGTCAAATATTGACAGCCCTATAGATCGTATTATTTTTAAGACTAGTATTTATTGATTAGTGTGCATGTTAATGAATGGAAACTCATCATATTATACTCTAAAAAGCCTATTAATTAAGAGTTTATAGTTGTTACCATGATCGCTTATAAGCGACTTATTGATGACGAAAGAATGGCCGAACGAGCCCTACGTATCGCATGCACGTAAATAAAACTTCGCCACGCCGCATAATCAATAGGTCATTCGTGACCATTGTCATGCTCGCATGGGTGTATTTACACGTCAAAATATGTATTGACACACACAGTGTGCACATATGTAAGGTCATATAAGTTTCACGAGTCGTGTGCACACGAATAATAGCTCAGCATTATAGCATTTCCAACGAATACATCGTACACACATAGCGACGTCGTAATATGAAAAATTATAATTAAAATTGTTATTTTAATCATACTTTTACAAATATATTATATATCCATGTTACTAAACATATTATCTAATCATATTTTTAAAATGTATAATTATAGCTTGAATTGATGATTGTGATATTACAAGAATTTATTAGTGTTCATAAGATTAGTTTAAGTAGGCCCCATACTGCCATACACCACATTAAAAAAAATTCTAAATATTTTTTGTCATTAAAAAAATAAAAGAATTATATATCTAAATATTAATATTTAAACATTAGACTGTAAAACTCCCACTGATTAATGCACATATTACCATATGATATCAACTAAGTGGGTCTTAATTATACATAAAAAAGCTCATTAAGGAGCAGTGGCGGCAACTCCCAAACCCCATTGGGATCTCTCCTCATGCATGTGAAGCCTTTAAGAGCTCTGTCGGCGAGGCCATCACAGACTTCTTCTCTCTCTTTTTCCTCAACATTTATCACTCTCTCACTCTCTCTCTCTCTCTTCTGTTATATATATATATATAGCCGTTTGAAGATACTTCAGTGATTCATCAAGGTAGAAGCCTTGAGCTTCTTCTACGTTTCTCTTCTTTTATCTGTCAGGTTTGGCTCCGATATGGGGCCTCAAAGGCACCGGAGCCGAAGCCTGCTCTTAGGCTTCTTTGCTCTTCTTCTTTCCCCCACCTTCTGCCTTTCTTTAACTACTGAGAGTTCTGCTGTTATTGGCTCTGTGGAGTGTCTTGACTGTGCTACAAAGAGCTTGAACACAGAAGAAATTTATAAAGGTATGAGCAAAATTCTTCTGTAATAAGTTCTTCACGTGATTTAAAGATTTAAAAAAAAAAATAGGAAGATTTCGATCAAGTTTGTCAGGAAAATGAATAAGAACGGTGGATCCAGCCGTTGATGAACTCGTTAGCATGAATCTTAAAAGACAATTGATCCATTAGTGCTTTCACTTTTGTCCTAAAACCATCTCCAATCGATCTGCATACCACCACACTGCATTTGAACTTCAAATCTCACGCCAAAATTTGATAGGTGAACAGTAAGACGTCAATATTGGCGTCGGACTGCTCATTTACGCAAAAAAATCAGCTTGCCGAAGACGCTCGTGAAAGGGGAGAGAGATTGTTAACTTCGCAAGAAACGCGCGAACGAAGAAAGAAATGCAGTTCGATTGGAGATGAATTACGGCATTTAAAAGTTTTACTATATTTTAGAGTTGAAAATGAGTTTTTCGATTGGAGATAGCCCTAATTTTAGCCAACTTTTTTATAAATTATTTCCTCAATAAGCAAGCTTCATTATACATAAAATATTCAATGCTTAAATTTTTTTTTTTATATATATATATAGCATTTTTGTGCCTCAATCACATTAAAAAATATTTTTTTACTTTAAAATTTTTAATATTAGTATATTTTTATGCAATTCAAAATTTTAATATTATATAAATAAATATAAAAATCTAATTTTTAAGTGTAAATCTATAAGAATTATGTGATGTTTATGTAAATGCTACTAAAATAATATATGAATTTTTAAAATATCACATAGTTAAAGTTGAAATATAATTATCTAAAATTGTATAAATTTGTAAATTAATTAGTAAATATTATAATACTCAAAATAATTTTTACAGTATATAATATATAGATCAGATGAACTATTGAAATCACTAATAGTGTTAGAGGGATTAGCTTAATATTTTTTTTATAAAATCAAAATGTTTTTTTAAGATAAATATTCATTTAATCTCTAATTAAGTAAGATTTGTTTTATAATTAATTTTATGTCTTCTAATTTTTAATTAATATTATACTGATTATTTGTATCTTAATTTTAAAAATTAACAAGATATTTAAGATAGATTAGAATATTTTTATAAAATTACTGAGATTAATAATGATTTTTTTATTGGTATTCCATTAATTATAGCTCAATTAATTTTGTCGGTCGAAATGGACCACTGTATTGGCCACTCTCTTATATTAGGCCAGTAACCGGTTTATTTAATTGTAAAAAAAATGTAATTTTTTTTGTTATGAGAATAATAATTTGAATGATTTGTGTTAGGACTTAGGATTCTATCTCATGCTCATATGTTATGCTATATTGGCCAGGTCTGAAAGTAACAATCAAATGCAAAACAAGCAACCCCAATGAATACAAAACCAAAGCCACATCAAACCTCAACAAAGATGGCACCTTCCACATTCATCTCCCCACACATCTTCGTGTCGTCGGCGACTGCACCGCTCAGCTTCATGACTCATCAAATAAACCATGTAGCCATGGCGACGCTGATGAGCCCTCGAAGCTTATCGACAATGGTGATGGCACCTCTGTTGTTGCCGCCGGCAAGCTTCGATTCTCGTCGGCAACGTGCTCGTCAAAGCTGTTTTGGCCCCTGCCTCCACTACCCACATGGCACCCCATACACAAATATTTCCCTTGGCATAAGCCAATCCTATCTTTTCCTCCATTACCGCCTAAACCGCCGATCTACAAGCCACCTATAGTCATACCGCCAATCTACAAGCCACCTATAGTCATACCGCCAATCTACAAGCCACCTATAGTCATACCACCAATCCACAAGCCACCAATCTATAAGCCGCCAATCTACAAGCCACCTATAGTCATACCACCAATCCACAAGCCACCAATCTATAAGCCGCCGATCTACAAACCACCAATCATCAAGCCACCTCCTATTGTCATACCACCAATAGTGAAGCCGCCAATCATCAAACCACCACCTATTGTCAAGCCCCCGATTTACAAGCCACCAATCATCAAACCACCACCAATCGTCAAGCCCCCAATTTACAAGCCACCAATCATCAAACCACCACCTATCGTCAAGCCCCCAATCTACAAGCCACCGATCATCAAACCACCACCTATCATCAAGCCACCAATTGTCAAGCCACCGATCATCAAGCCGCCACCTATTGTCAAGCCACCAATCTATAAGCCACCTCCAATTGTTAAGCCACCAATCATCAAGCCACCTCCAATTGTTAAGCCTCCTATCATCAAGCCACCAATAGTGATACCGCCCATTGTCAAGCCACCTATTGTCAAGCCACCGCCAATAGTGATACCGCCCATTGTCAAGCCACCTATTGTTAAGCCACCAATAGTGATACCGCCCATTGTCAAGCCACCAATCTACAAGCCACCACCAATAGTGATACCGCCCATTGTCAAGCCACCTATTGTCAAGCCACCGCCAATAGTTATACCGCCAATATACAAACCACCCATTGTCAAGCCACCTCCGATAGTAATACCACCAATCTACAAACCACCCATTGTCAAGCCGCCTCCGATAGTAATACCACCAATCTACAAACCCCCCTTTGTCAAGCCACCGATAGTAATACCGCCAATCTATAAGCCGCCAATTTACACAAAGCCATTTCCCCCGCATCCGAAGTTCCCCCCAATTTACAAGAAACCTTTGCCTCCATGGCCAAAGTTTCCTCCCATCTACAAGAAGCCATTGCCTCCATTTCCAGTGTTTCCACCTACTTATAAGAAGCCATGGCCTCCTCTACCGAAATTCCCACCTCACCATGGCTGGCCTCCACTTCCTCCTTTCTTTCCTCCTGCAAAAGTGAATTCTAAACGTTGAAGCTCCTGATCATGAAAGCTCATCTTCTTATTTGTTATTATTGATTTCCAATAAAATAAGCTTTAGCTTTGGGAGGATTGTGTTTGCTAAGAGTCGAAGAGGAGTGCGTATTAGCAACTATTGTGTGCTTGAATATTTTATGCTATGATTTCTCTCTCTCTCTCTCTCATGTATATTGTATTACTTGATGAAAATTATAGTAATGCGAAGGTATCTTTTAAATCTTGTAATATTTTTTTGTCTTCTCGTTTTAGTAGATTTTATTCCTGTCATGGTTTCAGTTGTTGGAAATTGGAGAAAGTAGAGAGAGAACAGTAATTGATTGTAGCCTGTCAATGTCTGAGTGGTTGGTAGTAATGACGAAGTTGGTTTGGAGAATGGACACAGCATACAGAATTTAATGAGAACCGTCGAAAAATCTAAGGAAGAAAGAGGAATTTATTATAAAATAAAAAAAACTTATCTAGCTACTGAATGAGGCTTCGACCAATGCAAGAGGAATAATTGATATATATTATAGAGAAAAGAAATGGGAAAGAGAGAGAAAGAGGTGGAAGAGAATCCTATAGTAGATTTCATTTGACATTATCTCAACCAAAAGTACTACAAGTTGATGTCAGTGGTACTGTAAGGGCTACATGATCAATGCATATAAAATTACACAAAAGCAACAGAGTGGAAGTTTTCTTTAGGATCTATTTAGGAAGAAATTATTCTGAGCATATACTGGACGGTTCAGAGATCAATTAAAATGCAATTCTTCAAATCGAGCAAAAAAATGATGTGACGAATTTTGATTGGTCTGCGGACGTCGTCCGGTGTCCGCACATAATATTTTTTTTCCTATTTGGGATAACTTTTTAATTGTTTTATTTTTCAGATAACAATCATAATTTCATTTAACTTATATTTTTTCATTGATTTTCAAAATTCATATGATAAAAAGTTATTTTCTGCAATCACAATAATAAAGTTATTTACTCCACACCAACTTAGCTCTTTAACAGAATGATAAATTTGTGCTCATAATATTTATTTTTAATATCTTGACTCTGATGAAAGATACTTCACTGAAAAAATAAAAATAATTTTTTTAAAAAATTGTACAAAAAGTCCCAAAAACCTAGATCTATAACTTAAGATGGTATAGCACAATATTTTTCAACTTAAAGATTAATGTACGAGATATAAATTCTATCAAAATAAAAATATGTTCTCACTTATTTTGTAATAAAAGATTTTAAGTTCAAGAAAAAATATTTTGAGTTTTCCTGTAAAATTTTTCACCGAATAAAAATGGTTTGAAGGAAATAATAATAATTTTGGTTAGAAAATGTGAGAGCAAAATGAAAAATAGGGATGGAAAAACAAGAACAGAAAAATCTCACAAAAATATGATTGCCTGAGTGCTTTTCCTTGCGAACTAAAGAGAGTTTTTTGCGAAGGATGTAGATTATAAAGAAGAATTTGATTTTAATAAATTTTTAATGGAAAATAATGTTTTTTTAATAAACTTTAATAAATATAAGAAAATATATAAATATATTTTTATTATTTATAAATGATTATATGGCCGTTAACATTCAAAATCTGGTCAAAACTCTCCATTTCGCTTAATGGGGTTTGTCTAATCAAATTTGAGCTAGTCCAAACTCAGACTCTTTAGCTCGCAAGCCGGTTCTTTTAAAAAAAATGTTAACATAAAATATACAAAAAATAAGAATCCGAAATTTAAATACAAAATTGTTAGAAATATTTAAAAATTAAGGCTTCATTTGTGACCAATTTTACTATTTTCTAAAATTGCTTTATAGTACTAAAATTTCTTATTCACGATAATTTTTGTACTAAAAAATATTTTAGAAATCAGCAAAAAAACTATCCCAAACAAAACCTAAAACTAACTTTCTTATATTAAGTGATTCTTTATTATTTTTCTTGTAATTCTTCATTTTTTTATTATAATAATTGATTAACTCATAATAATTTTTCGCTTTCAAAACAAAACAGCCAGCTCATGGTCGGGCTCAAACTCATAGAATAAAGCTTGGACTCTATTAATTAAACAACCTCAACCTTAAGCGGAGGGCGACTTGAGCTCCACTCGACAAGTTTACACTCCTAATCTTGACACGAAACTATTCATTTTCCTTAAAATTTTTCTTCCAGAATGGCTTATTCTGGCTACAGTGACTAAAAGTTTATTCACAAGTATCATATATTTTGTTTTCTTCCTTCTCAAATCAAAAGATGAAATGGATCCAACCTATATTCCTAGTACATTAAGATTATACAATGAGATTAAGTGTTCGTTTGAGATGGCTACAGCGTTTTATAAAGTTGATTGTGAAGTTCTTGTCGTAACAAACGGTCGATTAAGACTTAGATCAATCAATATCTTAAAGAGCTGGCTACATCAACCTTGTATAGATTATCAACTAATACAAAAATCTAGAAAGCACAGAGTAAGCAAAAATTATCATGTTTATGAATATGTTATAAAGTTTATCACATTTAGTTCTTTCATTAGATAAAACTTATAATTTAAAATGTATGTTAAGTCTTCTACGTACTTCATCAAGTGTAGAATAACCAACTCCTTCAAGGCCTTAGGTAGAAAAAGTTATTACGTGCGGACAAAAAACCGAAAATCCGGACAAATACCAAGCGATACCGTGTTGTACCGAGCGCCCAAGTGACGTGGTGTTTTGTTATTGGTCTCTGGATACGTTTGGTGTCCGGACACAATAATTACTCCTTAGGTAGAGAGCAATATCACACTTTCATACTTAGATTCAAGTAATGACCACATTAGTCGCCTAAGCTAAGGCCCTCAAGAAATTGATTAGCCTTATAGCTCTCTTACAAAGAGTAATCTCATACTTCGTTGGTCCCTAAACCCTAAACTTTCTAAAGGGCACCATCTCCATAAATAAAATATTTTTTTCTCAAATACTTGCATAATAGTACCTTGCTACTTGCCTCTATTTCATTTTTATTTCATTTTGGAAGGAGGCTTGAATTTTAAGCTCTTTAAAGTTCTTCATCATTGACAATTTTCCATTCATTGAATTCCCTTTCATTGAAATTTGATGTGGCAAGTGGCTATGCAAGTTGCTTTCAACATGTAGGAAGTCCTTGGACCTCACAAATAGGACAAATGGTGTTTGATCAATCGCCAAAGATGGTGTACTATGCAAAGCCTAGAAATATATGCTAGAAATTTGCTAATACAAGATGTTGGACATTGATTCCTTGCATAATTAGACTATCGTCCCTTGAAGAAGTTGCTATATTATAGCATGATAATTTTATCTATCACCAATATGCACTTCTTCGTTATCTGATTCCTAGTCGAAAGCATTCTCCACACCCGTCGCATATTTTAGGACATTATATCCACTATTAACTGTGCAAAACACCAAGACTTTACTGCAGAAATAGATCGAGCCCAAATGAGAGAGAGAATGAGAAATACAAAATATATTTAAATTGTTCATCCTGAGGAATTCTCTCTCCAACCTTTCAAATGTGTCAAAAAGAAATTTGAACTTTCAAGTATACATACAAACTGCAATCGATACATGTGATAAGTGATTGTAACTCTTTCAAACATATCAGAAGTCTTCAAATATGGTTTTGCACACCCATTTGTCTACAACTTTATATAGTACTGAAATCTTTTGGAAGGCCATAACTAATTAGTTGAACAACACCTAAATGGCGTGGCTAAGGAGAATGATAGCAGATGCAGGAAGCATTATTCAAGGACAAAGTAAGAACAATCACAATTAACACAGACAATATAAATTTATAATCAGCAAAGAAACAACCTAATTTCCTATCAAAACTCCACAATAAAGCAAATAGCTTAACTCGAAGATATCAAAAATGTCACAAAAATTCTGAAAGATAAATGATTTATGCGTCGATAGAAGCAGCTGCATGTACTAAAAAAGCTATTGTTCCAAACAAAAAACTCTTTCTTTCGTAGTTTTTCAGTGAATAAATCTACTTTCGGAACACTAATCTTACATGTGAAGTCAGCTACCTGCTGCTGAACGCCAAACTCGTATTCCCCATCAGAAACACCAATAAACGCCTATTTCTTCTTCTTTGACTTATTACTGGACAGTGAATGAGCATATGCAGTTCCCTGATACAAAAAAGAGGATATTGCAGAAAGGAATTTAGCTCAAATATGTCCTGAAGATGTATTCTCAAATCAATCATGTTACTTCTCTAATTATTAGCTTATACAGTACCTGTAACCATTCATTCATGTCATCCTTGGTTGTAGTGGTGCCAACTTCCACCTTTGGTGCCCTTTTTGTTTTCTGTGAAGAATGAGCATAGACAATTAGGTCAATTTAGGATAGCAAAACTGATTTCATGCGAGGAATATCTATTATAAAAATAATGTGTGTGTTAACATAACTAATGAAAAAATATGGATACCGAACAAAAGATTATCATATGAATTTATTGATCTTATGATGGCATATAATCAAATAATATACAAATTAATTTAAAGCACATTAAGATAGAAAGGCATATGTCAATGAAATATTGGCGTTATTAAACATAAGTGTGATGGAGCATAGTCAGTATTAGAAATAATCATAGAGTAACACTAGGGCATCCATTTATAATAGGTTTAAATCAACGATCAGCATCGAATGTGAATCTTGTAAAAGTATATAATTGGGTACAATTTCATGTCGTAGGGTTGGTTCTGCATACGGTTCTAGTTCAAAACAAAATCCTGGTTCATATTTCATAGTTCGATTTAACATCGGCTGCAATAACTAGACACCAATGTTTGTTTTTCATAGTCATTGAGTCAATTATTGATTAGTTCTACCTTATCTACCCCTAGATCTAATTATTTGTTTAGGGTTTTCTCTTTATGCTCTCACCTATTAAGTTTCTTATACAATTTTCATTGATTACTGCTGTCGGCTCGCAAGCTTCTTTACAAGAATACTTTTAGATACCACATCTTCACACTCCCTCTCTCAGTTTATTGTCTCTGCCTCTCAATCCCCAATTGGTCACTTAATCTAATTGAGTATTCTTAATTTTTAAATATTCTCTCATCATTTTTTTAATATCATTGATTTTTTTAACTTTTGAATAGCTGGAAATTCATGCTAGTGAACATACAATTATGTTTGCTTAAAATTATTAGCATTTCGATTTAAATTTGGCTGATTAAATTACCATTCCATGTACATGATGTATAATTCATGAGCACTCTAATTTATAAAGTGTTGTTTCGCTTTATTTTTTACATAGAGAAACAAAAAGAAACCTTTGCGCATCACATTGACCTTAGTGCTTTGTAAATCCTAGGTAGGATAAGGCTAGTGATAATGATAACGATGATGAGGAGAATAGACATGAAGAATTTCATGTTCCAATTGCATCATAAATATTAGAAACAGATTACACTACTTTATACAAATGTTCAAATTAGTATAAAGAGCAGGTAAAAATGCTCCCTAGCATGTTCTGCATTTAAGGATAGAATAATGTCCATGTAGGTCAACAAGGCAAATAAGTAACAATCAACTAGCTAGAGCAAAGCGTCCCAATTGGCCCTGGCATAATCGTTTAAGCTGTCTTAAGATACACAATGTCTCGCAACAGCCAAAACAATTGAATCAACAATCATAAAGAAATAAACATCAGAGAAACGCAAGAACAATTGTGTCGAATGGATATTATTGTGCTAGTTAAAATATAATCTCCATGTAAATTTTTTTTTAATGCTCCAACTATTGTTTCACGGATTTGTATCACCAACCAACCATCCAAACAGAGCCTCCAATTTCAAGGCATTTATTTCACAAAATATGACTAAAACTTACAAAGAAGCAAGCGCCTTCCGTTCTCTACCTAGGTGAGGCACCAAGTAACCTATGTAACCCCAAGCGACTCATTTAACGAGGCAAGCACCATGGAACTCTTAAGTGACGACTTTGCATGGACTAAAACTCCTCAAGCGAGCACCTTTTCCTAGGCAACAAGCACCTCAAGTGAGTACCCTCATAAATCTTAGCAATTCGTCAAAATCTTTTTTTTTTCCCTTGACACATTTCGTGCAACTTCCTATTAAAAGCTATATGACTTGATTAAATTTCATCAAAATTTTACAATTATTATTTTTCTTGAGTTATGATAGCTGCTACTTCTATGATCATGCTGCGTATTTCATCCTTAATGATCTATAACTTCTTCCGGATCTTTTTTTCCCTTTTTTTTCTCATGGATGTGTTGCTTGTTGTTTTATCTGTAATTTGAAGTATGTTTAATAACTTATATATTTTGATTATTTTTATTTTGTAAAAACAAGAATGTTTTGATTAATTGAGTTAAGTTAGGAAGGATAGAGTAAGAATGATTATACACGAAAGACAGAAGGAAGTGAGTGGCAGTATACCATCCTATTGATGGAGTGGTATTCCATCTGACTTCCAAAGGTGAGGTTAGAGGTTCAAATCAGTTTGTAAAAAGTTTTTGGGAATAAACGATAAAATGATAAACCAATACAATGGGTGGATAGAATAATGTGGTAGAATTAGGAAAGAAAGGGGCAACTTGGAGTTATGCAAAAGGCCTCCCATAGCATTTGATATGAATAAATGAAGAAATGTAATTCATTAAGACAATGCTAAATAATCAATGTAAGACTTTGCCATGATGAAGAATGATATTTACCCTAACTTTCAAATAAGATATTAGATGTTCAATCACCTTAAAAAAAAGGATTGAGCATACACAATTGAGAGCAAAGATGCACCAAGGAAGTGAAGAGATAGAATTATGTGGTATGACAAGGGGGCAACTTGGAATTATGAAAAAGCAATTCACAAATTAGAGTTCAGAACTCATTAGCACTCGGCATGAATGAAAGAAGGATTCATCAAGTCAACCATAAATAGTTGATGCTTAAAATCATAGCAGTTGAATAATTATGAGTATGAGAAAGGTCTATTTTTACCTTATTTTCTTTTAGTCATGCCTATCGGAAACCATATCTTTTCTTAAAAATTATTTGAGGACAACCATCATTGGATAACTAATTTATCTATTAACCAACAACAACTACTACAACAACATCAAAAATTTATCCCACTACGTAGGCCGATGCCACATAGTGGGACAAAGACTTGATGTTGATGTTGTTGTATCCTATTAAGAGTCAAATTCTCATTAAAATCTAATAAAAAATGTCATTTCTAATAATGTATAACCAAGTCTTTTTAAGTCTACCTCTATATCTCTTAACATAGGTCAAATCTAATACATCTACTCTCCTAATCAGGTCATTAGAAGGTCGACATTTTATGTGATCAAACCATTAAAGGCGACTCTCTCTAATCTTATCTGCCACTAGAGCTACTCCAATTTTTTCACATATATGTTCATTTCGCATTCTATCTCTAAGAGTAAATCAACTCATCCACTGAGCATCCTCATATCTATCACATTTCACTTAATGGTATGCTTCTCTTTTAATGGCCAACATTTTGTGTCATAAAGCATCATAGGTCTCACCACCATCTTATAGAATTTTCCCTTAAGTTTTAAGGAGTCCATTTATATCACAGAGCAGGTCATTCTTGCACTTGAACCATCCAACTTAAATTCTACTAATAATATCCTCATATGTTTCACCATCACTCTGGACAATAGATCCGAGATACCTAATCATGTACTCTTATTAATGACTTGATCGCCCAGGGTCACCATCCCCCATTAGATCTATTACTACTAAAACTATACTCCATGAATTCAATTTTAGATTTACTCAAACGAAAACTTGTAGACTGAGGCAAGAAATCCAAGGAGAGAACAACCTCAAAGCCCACGAGTGAGTGAAGCTAGGGTTTTTTTGTGCTTCTCCCCCTCTACCTCCACCGTCGTCTTCCCGGGAGAGGTCGCCCTCTCCCGGACCTCCCCTCAGGGCTCTCAACACAGCTGGTTTCCCTCCTTTGGGCTCCTCCATTCTTGGAGTTCCTCCTCCCTCCCTCGATCGCTCCTATGCAAACAATCTCTCCGACGACACTCCCCCTTCTGAGGACATCCTGATGTCCTTTGTTCCCCCTAAACAGAAGCTTTCGTTTGTTGCGGGCGATCTCTCTGAAGGAGCCTCCCTCTGGTCGCTGTCTTTGGTTGGCTACTCCCTTGGTTCGCTCCCTTACTATGAAAGACTGCTCGCCGCCGTGAATAAGGTTTGGTAGTTGAAAGGTTCAATATCTCTACTCTCCCTAGCTGATGGGTTTTTCCTTATCAAGTTCACCTCTGGGGAAGATTACTCTATGGTATGGACGGGTGGGCCTTGGTTTTTACTTGGGAAACTATTCATTTTACAAAAATGGTCGTCCAAGTTGAACCTAGGCGGGATGAAGCCGCCTCCTTCCCCATTTGGATCAAAATCGTTGATTTTCCCCTTACTCTGTGGACTCCGTCTGGGATCTCTAAGATCGCTAGTTATATTGGTATACCGCTCAATGTTGACTCTCTCACAGCCAAGAGGACTAGGATGACTTATGCTAGGGTTTGTGTCCAAATTAATAAGGACTCACCTCTACAAGATGAAATTCCGATAGAAATAGACGGGGAAGATCTCGTTCTCCAAGTCCTATATGACTGAAAACCTTCTCGCTGTGAAGGTTGTGGTTCTTTAGTGCATCCGTTCCCTCTCTGTCTGTCTAATCCCAACCCCAAAACAACAACTTCCCCCTCCCCCTAAATTCAAAGGTCACAACACAAGCTGCCGCCCTTCTTAACGTACCTCTGCTCCTACTACCTCCACCCCGAAAATTCTGGCTCAACCCGTTAGTCCTCCAGTCACTCTACCTCCACTTCCCCCTACCATTCCTACCTCCAAGTCCAACCATCCATTTCTCCGGCCGTAGCTGACTCTTCACCCCCTATTCCCCCTAAGGTGGTTTCTACTCTTGGTAGAGAACCACCTATCCCTAATCTTAATTTTACCATTGAAGAAACCACTTCTTCAGCTAATCCTAATCCCGACCCCGAACAGTCTTCCCAAGTCCATATCATTATTCCCTCTCCTCCTCCCTCCACTAAACCCATCATTACCAACAATAAGTTTGCTTCCCCAGATGAAGATTCTTCCTCTTCACCTATCATAGATCCTATTCCACCACATGATGACACAGCTTCCTCTGCTGTTGTTAGACATAACCAAAAACAAAATGCTCAATCATCCCCTTCCTCAAAACAGGCTAGAGGGAAAAATGCTAGGAAGGCAAAAACATCCAAACCTTAATCAATGTCCCTGCCCCCAATAGCTTGTTGGAAT